TTTGTTTATTTCTGCCCCGGTAGTAATTATTTTCCCATTTACTTCTTTGGGGCTTGGTTTTTCCTTATTTTTCTGAGGCTTTAAGTTGCATCATTAGGCTACTTATTTGACATCTCAAATATTCTTATGTAGGAACTTAGGGCTATAAACATTTCTTCTTAGAACTGCATTCATTGTATCCTATAGCTTTTTGTATGTTGTGTTTTCATTTTCATTCAATTCTAGAAAATTTTTGCTTTTTTATTTCTTTCGGGACTCATTCAGCATTCAGTAGTGTGTTGCTTAATCTCAACTAATTTTTATAGTTTCTGCATTTTCTCTTGTTTTCTATATTTAGCTTTATTCCCATTGTGGTCAAATAGGTTACAGGATATAGTTTCATTTTTTTTATTTGTTAGGGCTTAATTTTGTCCTAATATATGATTTATTTTAGAAAAAAATTCAGGCACTGCTGAGAAAAATATGTATTCTCTACTACTTGAGTTGAGTGTTCTATAGCTGTTTTATTTGACACATCCTATTAGTTCCAATAGTTCTCTTTTTATTTTGTATCTGAATCACCTATCTGTGGCAGATAGTGAGGTATTAAATTTACCATGTATAACTGTGTAGGAGTTCGTCTGTGGCTTTAGATCTATCAGTGTTTGTTTTATGAAATTGGGTGCACCCTAATTGAGATGTACATGTTTAGAACTGTAATATTTTCTTGGTGGATTATTCCCTTTAAAGTATGAAATCACCTTTGCTATCTCTTGTGATTGGTTTAAGTTTGAAGACTACTTTGTCAAATATTAGAACTATTCTGCCAACTTTTTTCTTAGCTCCACTGCTAGAAATACATTTTCTACCCTTTTACTCTAAGGGTTAGTGTCTATCCTTGATGGTAAGGTGTGTTTCTTAGAGGCAACAAAAAGATCCAAGTTCTCTTATCTATTAGGCTAATTTAGTTTTTTTAATTGTGGAATTGAGACAATGTTCAGCATTATTGACAGATCTGTTTATACTTGCATTGTTGTTTGGCCATATAGGTTTCTTTTGTTTGTATGTCTTATGTTTAATTCTAGTATGCCTTTGTTTAGTTGAAGTTTGGTTCTGTTTATATTGTTGATGTAGCTCTTTTTTTTTTGCTCAAGTGTGAATAGTTAGTTGGTGTGTGATTCAGGTTCTCACTTTTGGTTTTTTATTGTTGGGACAGGATGGCTCCAAGCTGATTAGTGAAGTGCTCTCTGGTGGGGTGAAGGGAATTCAAGGCTATGGTATCCAGTGGCTGGGTAAAGGTAGACTAGTGAGGTGGTCTCAGGCAGGAAGATGGGGGGCATTGTAGAGCTTAATCTGGGGTGGGGTCAGCATGGAGAGAGTCTAAGTAGCTAGGAGGAATGGGTGTGAGCCCTGAAACTGGAGAAGGCAGCTTGTCTAGGTGCAGGAGTTCAGAATGCGGTGGGTGCGTTCTGGATTAGGAAGTTTATCCAGAAATTTGAGGTGGAAAGAGCAGGGGCCTGGACACAAGGCTGGAAGGGGGACAGTACTCAAGGAGAGAATGGAGATCTTCAGAGTGCAGAGGAATCAGGCCGCAGTGGCAGGGCCTGATTTACTAGGGTAGTATGTGGGTCTCTAACAGAAAGAGTGGGATGGTTCCAAAGTAGATGAATGGGCACTGTGTAATTTGAGCTACCAGAGGCCATGTCAGGTACTCTCAGGCTATCTCAGGGGATGGGTGGGTTCAAAGCCCAAGGAGAGGACATGGGAAGATGATGTGAAGCCCATAATAGCCAGTAGGGATGGCTGAGCCCTGGAGCAGTGGGAGGAACTAGAGATAGACCCAAAGCAGCAACAGGATTTAGGCTACTACTCCCCAAGCTGGAAGCATTTGCAGACCAACTCAGAGGGACAGGTGTATCCAAGGCCCATAGAGAGGGAATCATAATAAGATGTTACCCAGAGTATTCAAAAGGACTGTCTAATAGATATCTGCAGTGTTTAGTAGCCTTTAATGGAATTAAAACTCCAAATTATACTCAGATTTTGTATAATATATGATATTTGCTAACTGTCCAGAACTACCCATAATCTTATGTAATTGTTGCCTGCTGAGTTTGGTGGTCTAGTCTAGAACAAATACTAAAACCTTTCCATGTAGTTTTGACTGTTAACTTGGCAAATTCAATGAAGGAGATTAAGATGTTCAAAATAAGTTGTTCAACTTTTGTCTGAAGAAGCAAAAATATATTACAAATTGTTTATTGTGGAAATTGTTGCTTTTCCATTCCTGTAGCCTTTCACCAATAATTGTAGAACATATTGATTCATATGCACATACACTTATCTGTCCAATAAAGATTTGGGGAGTGGGGCTGGAGAGATGACTCAGAAGTTAAGAATACTGAATGTTCTTGCAGAAGACCTGGGTTCGAATCCCAACACCTACATGGCAACTAACAACTATCTGTAACTCCAGTTCCAGGGGATCCAACAGCCTCTTCTGTCCTCCATGGGCATTGCACAACATGGGTGCACTTACCTACATGTATGCAATGCACTCATAAACATAACATAAAAATATTAAAATATTTTTAAAAATATTTAGGGAGTAAATAAGAGGAATAGAGTCAAGAGATCCAATGTTTATTCAGTCATATATGTTTTTTTTCAAACTAGAACTTTAGTTTCAGAAAAGGTTTTATAATTATTATTCTTATGTCATTGATTTACTTTTATATTTGTAATCTTTTCCTAACTGAAAACCCCTCCATTGTAAATTTGATACAAAATTACTAACTACAAATCTACAGTCAACATACACAGTATAAGAAATTGTTATTCAATTTCTATATCTTCTCCCATTTTTATTAAATAAGACTTATCTTTCATTTTTAGAGGGGAATGGGGAATAGTAGACTAATTTTTGCCAGTCAGGTGTTCAGATGTAGATCACTGGATTTGTTACTTTTGTTTGTGGTGTTTTTATTCCTTTCTTGTTTTTTTTTGCATAGAATGGTAGAATTTTGAGTGATTATGAACATGTGTCCTTGAAGAGTTAATTCTTGTGTCACAATTAATTTTTTGTTATTTATTTTTATTTTCTCTGCATGAGTGTTATACATGCATGTATGTAAGTGCACCCATATCATGCAATGCCCAAGGAGGACAGAAGAGTGCATTGGATCCCCTGGAACTTGCTTTGTACATGGTTTTCCATGTGGGTGCTGGGATTCAATCCTGGGTATTCTGTAAGAACAGCCAGTACTCTTTAGCTGAGCCATCTCTCCAGCCCCTGTTGCTTCGTATTTAAAAGATATCAGATTATATATAATTAATTCTTTAAGTACTTCCTTAATAAATATATGTTTGTGCAAGGAAACACTGAGAAATTCACCTAGATTTATCAAAATCATAAAACACCATTTAGTCTATGAAGCCTGTGAAAAGATATAGGCAATTAAGTAATAGAGCAACAAGATTCATATTTATGTGGAGTTCAGTTTGTTGAAAAGCATTTTAATTATTTGTAGACCTTTTAATAGAAAGAATATACTTAGCATGATATTTAAAGTAGTCAGACAAGTTGAGGTGCACTATTAGTGGTTATAGATGAACATGTGTCCATTTGTCCTAGCTCCAGATTGGACTGAAGGTTCAGGTTGCTGTGGCAGAATGAAGGAGAACTTATTGTAGTGGGTTTGAATGCATAAACGTATCTCATGCTTTAATGCAGAGATGCTGTATTATTTGCTTTTCTGTTGTTGTGATAAAACGTGAGTAAGCCCACTTAGAGAAGGAAGATTTTATTTGGACTTACTGTTCCAGATGGAGAAAAGTCCATCATGGCAGGGAGGTATGGTGCTAGAGGCAGCCAGAGCAGAAAGCTGTGAGCTCATATCTTCACACAAGCACAGGAAGCAGAGAGAGAGAAACTGGAAGTGGGACAAGGCTTAAGAATTCTCAAAGCCTACCAGCAGTGACATACTTCTTCCAGCAAGGCCATACCTCCTAAACCTCCATAAACTTAGCAACTGGCGCTAAGTTTTCAAAAACTTGGAGTCAGTGGTAGATATTCTTTTTCAAACCATCACTGATGCTATCACTCATAGAAAAAGCATAAGCTTCTTGCTTTTTTGAGCATCCAACTCACAGTCATTATTAAATATTGAGGTAATCATAGATGAAAACCACATCTTATTTTATAAATTTGTTTTTAAAAATATTTTGGGTTTTGTTTTTATTTCTTATGTGTATGAGTATATTGCCTGCATGTATGTTAGTGTACCCATGTCTTGCAGTGCCTGCAGAGGTCAGAAGGGGTATCAGATTCCCTAGAACTAGAGTTACATACAGTTGTTGACTGTCATGTAGGTGCTGGGAATCAAACCCTGCTCCTCTGGAAGAGCAGTGAATTCTGAGCCATCTCTGTATCCCTTAAATTTGTTTTACAACAGAGCTCTAAGTTATTTTGATTTTATCTTGACTTTAGGCCTAATTTCCTTAAGAGAATGAAGGGTATGGTTGGAGACATAGTTCTTAGTGATATATAAACTACTTCAAGCAAATTTATCTTTATAAAATATGTTGAAGTATCTGCCTTGAGTTTGCTCAGGTGCCTGTCTGTATATTATCCCAAATCCAAAAGGACCAAGATAGTTACTTATGGCCAAGCATGGTGGCACATGCCTTTAATCCCATCACTCAGAAGGCAGAGGGAGATGGATTGATGTGATGCCAGCCTGAGATGGTCTACATAGTGTGTTCCAGGAAAGCTGGGCGACATAGTGAGACCCTGTCTCAAAAATCAAAACAAGAGTTGCTTATAATATGCAAATCATTTCTTTCTATCACATATAGAAATAGAATTACATTTTGAAATATTTGAGGTTTTTTGCATGCTATTTATATCTTATGAATTCAAGATAAAGACCTTGAGACTTTGTTGTTCTTGTACTCTGCCTTATTTATTCCAAACATATTTGTTTATACTAACTCTTTTTCAAATTATATCTCTAATTCAGGCTAAAAATCTCATAGAGAGATTTTTTAACCAACAAGTAGAAGCTCTGGGCAAACGTGTAGAGCCATTACCTGAAATATACTATATTGAAGGTACTCTCCAAATGATTTGGATTAATCGCTGCTTTCCAGGGTATGGAATCAATTCCTTGAAACATCCAAGATGTCCTGAGTGCTGTGGTATGTAATGAACTATGCTTCATGCTTAATTTTGATGAAAATTCACTTACTTTGATTATGTCTACATGAATATTTATCACTTCTTTTAAAATTGTCATTTAGGTATTGAATTTTGTTATCTCAAGTAGTATGTTTGAAGAGACTATATTATAAACATGTAAAAGAAAAGAAGCTGGCTTAATTTCGAGCTTGATTTAACATTATAACAAAGAGGACTTAGGAGCAGTATTAGGCAGTTACTAGGATGACCCTAAAAAGAAACTAATCATATTCCATGCAGCATCTGTTTTTGATGAGTTTAATTTTGTGTAGCCCAGAGAAGGTATTTGTGACTTTAGTTTCTTTGACACACAGATATATGAAACATTTTGCTCACACTCACCTGTGCCCCTCTATTGTCCTCCTCCATCCACACCACTCTCTCCTTTCCACCACATCCCAGTCCTACTTTCAGGCCTTTTTTTTTCTTTCTGCATTGTTACTCTGTTAACCTGAGCCAGTTAAAGTAGACATGGGTGTGAAGCTGTCCACTGGAACATGAATAACTTTTCACTGGCAACAATGACTTTCCTTCAGCAACCGTCTACTACCATTAGCTCCCCTGGGCAGAGTGGGTCCCTATGAGCCCTTCATATCTATGACTGAATATTTACTGGTTCAGTCTTAAGTAGGCCCTATGTAAGCAACCACAGGTATTGTGAGTTTACAAGTGCCATAGCCATGTCATTCCCATAAGACAGTATTTCACAATCCTCCTTCCTACATTTTTCTACTCATCTTCTGTGATGGTTCCTGAACCTTGGAAGGGGTAATATGAGTGTCCTTTTTAATGCTGAACACCCAACAGTCACATGTTCTGAGCTTTTTGGAAAGCCTTGAGTCTGCATTAACTGACATTGGCTATGAAGAAAAACTCCTTTGATCTAGGCTGAGGATAGCACTAGTCTATGGGTAAATATTTAAATGTAAATATTTAAAAGGTAGTTTGACATGTCTGTTTAGCAAAATAAAAATGGTAGGTTGTCCTCTACTGTCTACAGCCTCCAAAGGCTTGGGTTTTGACCACCAGGTGCACAGTACTGAGCATGAACTCACTTCTAAGGAGTGGGTCTCAGATCCAGAGATCAGTTGGTTACCCCCCAAACAGCTGTGCCACTGTTGTACCAGTAAGCTTGACAAGATGTTATTATAGCATGCAAGGTCTAAAGCTATAGTAGAGCTTTGCTGGCTTTTCTTCCCCAGCAGTCTTTATAGCAGTTTCCAGCACTATGAAAGCTAGCTAGCAAGAATGCTTCTAGCTCAGTTCTAGCATGGTTTCTCTGTATATCAAAACCAAGGTGTGTGGTGCCTTCAGTAATAGGGTCTTTCCAACCAGTTCTGGTGGGAATCCAGTGGCCATGGCCATAATCTAAATAATTTTGAGGACCTTGCTGACTCACAGCTTTTAGGGAGATGTTCTATACCTGGCACTGAGATTTCCATTTAATAGTTCATTGCTTCTGATATCAGTATTAGCCACCTATGCATGGTACCTCTGTTCAAAATTTTTTATTGTGTTTTTTAATTAGTTTATAAACTAATTTTCGATGTTTGATTTTAAATTGTGTATAGTTTAGATAGTCTCTGTTAAGTATAGCTGGTAAGTATTTTCATTCTGTGGGCTGCCTTTCACTCAATTTACAGTTTCCCTTGCTCTATAGAAGCTTTTTTGCATTTTGCATTTTATGTCTCATTTGTTACTTCTTCACTTCGTTCCCCGGATGACTGGAGGTCTGCTTAAAAAGTGCTTCCCTATGCCTGTAACTTGTGAGATAATCCAATAGCAGTTTTATACTTTAAGGTCTTATGTTGAGTTCTTTGATGTATTTGGATTTGATTTTTGTGCAGGGTGAAAGACAAGATTTTAGTATCACTCGCCTACATGTACACAACCAGTCTTTATGGCACCATTTGAGGAAGATGTTGGTTTTTTTAACCCAGTATATACTTTTGGGAATCTTTGTCAAAAACCAGGTACCTGAAGATACGTGGCCTTGTATCTGGGCTTCTGTTCTGCTTCCTTTATCTCTGAGTTTGTTCTGAACCAGTGCTGTGCTGTTTGTATTAGTATGTCTCTAAAGTGTACTTTGAGATGAGGTATAGGAGCCTCTCCAGCACTGCTGTTTTTCCTGAGGGTGGATTTGGGTATCTGAGTTTTTTTCCTTCTGTAAATTTAATGTTTTTTTTCTATTTCTGTGAAAAATTGCAGTAGGATTTTGATTGATATACCATTGAATCTTTTGATGGCTTTTGGTAGGATGATTGATTTTCCCTATCCGTGAGCATATGGAGGTCTTTCATTCTTCCTCAATTGTCTTCCTCGATTTCTTTCTTCAATAGCTTAAAATTTTCATTACAGAAATTCTTCATTTCCTTGGTTATTTCAAAATATTACTCACTTTGGCTCCGTGAATGGCATTGTTTTCCTAATTTCTTTTTCAGTATGATTTTTAGGGGTACATGGAAAGATTTTTGTGTACTAATGTTATAACTTGCCACTCTGCTAAATATGTTTAACAACTGTAAGAGTTTTTGTTTTTTTGTGGGCATTTAGGTTGTCTCATGTACAGAATCAGATCACCTACAAAACAGTAACTTTTGACTTCCTCTTTTCCTTTCCGTAGCCTCCTTATTTCTTTATCTTATGCAGTTGCTCTGGCTAGGGCTTTGAATAATATATTGAGTAGGACTGGGAAAGTGGACATACTTGTTTTGTACCTGATTTTTGTAGGAATGCTTTTGAGTTTTTCTCCATGTAGCTTGATGTTAGCTACAGATTTGTTATAAATAAACTTTATTATGTTAATATATGTTCCAGCCATCTCTACCTGTCCAATGATTTTATCAGAAAGAGATGTTGGATTTTTTATCAAAGGCCATTTCCGCATCTATTGAGAAGATTTTTGTCTATGTGTCTATGTGATGAATTACATTTATTGATGTTCATATGTTGAACCATCCTTTATCTCTGAAATGAAGCAAATATGGTCATGACGGAAGATCTTTTTGATGTATTCCTGGATTTCCTTTGGAAGTATTTTATTCAGAATTTTTACATCTGTGTTCATCATCAAAATTGGTATATAATTTTATTTTTCTGTTGTTTCTGTATCTGGTTTTGCTGTCAGATGATTCTTGCTTAGTAGAAGGAATTTAGAAGCATTCCTTACTTTTCTATTTTGTAAAATAATTATTGAAGCATTATTTAAAGATCTTCTATAAAGGTCTTATAGAATTCTGCAATAAAACCATCTGGAATGAGGCATTTGTTAGGAGATATTTTTTATTACTATTTCAATCTCATTGCTTGCTGTATGTTGGTTTAAATTGTTTATCTCATCTTTGGTTTAGTAGGACATATATGCATCAAGAAATTAATTTCTTTATTTGGCAGAGTATATACTTAAGGCATGACCTTACAGTTTTCCGAATTTTACTGGTATTTGTTGGAATGTCCAGTAGTTATAAATATATTTTATTATTCTTTGATAGTTTAATACTTGTATATAATGTATTAAGATCATATACATTCCCCATTTGCCCCTTCCAACTCTGCCTGGACTCCCTGCAACATGTCCTCCTCTAAACCTCATGTCCTTTTTTTTTCCTTTTATTTTCCACTTCAGTTAGTGCTGTCTGTATGTCTGTGGTTGTGGGGCCATCTGCTGAAGCATGAACAACCTACTAGTGTCCACATGACCAAAGAAAAATATCTCTTCCCAGCAACTGTCACCTGCCAACAGTTCCTAAGTTTGTGGTGGGACTTTATGAACAGCTTCCCCATTGATACTGGAATTTTGACTAGCTTGATCATTTGTAGATAACCACAGCTTCTGTGAGTTCATGTGTACCACAGTTATGTCATGTAGAGAACAAGGACTTCACAAGAGTCCTCCTCATTTTGCAGCTTTTGCATTCTTTCTTCCTGCTCTCCTGTTCCTCCCTGTGCCTCGGCAGGGGATTATTAAGATGTCCATTTTGGGCTGGTCACTCACAGTCACTTATTCTCAGCACTTTAACAAGTTATCCGTCTCAGCATGAACTCCTTCCTACCCATTGCAAAAAGAAACTTCTCTGACCAAGGTGGATAATAGTCTAGGTCTGTGGGAATTAAACATAAATATTTTAGAAGGCAATTTGACAATTTGATAGCATGACCATTTAGTAAAATAACAATAGTATGTTTCAACATACAGCTTTTGACAAACCTCATGAGCTTTTGACCAGGATTACAGTACCAGGCATGAATTCTATCCTGTGAAGCAGGGCTCAGAACTTGTCAGGAAGTGGTTGACTACCCTATAATGCTGCTATTGCGCCAGTGGGTCTATCTTGCTTAGCAGGTGAATATTGTAGCATGCAGAGACCAGTGCTCCATAAAGTCATTGATGGCTTTTCTCTCCCAGAAACCTGCCTGCCACCTCTGGCACTATGAAAGCTAGATAACAGGATGAAGGAGGTTTCCTGGTTGGTTCTAGATCGACCTTTCTATATCTTACAACCCACATATGCTTTATCTTCAGCAATAGTATCTTACCATGTAGCTGTGATGGCGAACCAAGAACAATGGCAATAGCCTTTGTTGTTTTGGAGACTTCTGGGGCTTCCCTGACCCATAGAGATTATATTTTTATGTGTATGAGTGTAATTCCTGCAAGTAGGTAGGTACACCAGAGGTAGGTGCACCTGTGTCATGCAATGCCCATAGAGGTCAGAAGAGCATGTCAGATCCCCTGGAACTAGAGTTGGAGATGGTTGGTAGCTGCCATGTGGGTGCTAGGAATCGAACCCAGGTCCTCTGCAGTAGTAGTCAGTGTTCTTAACTGCTGAGTCATCTTTCCAGGCCCCCAAAGTCCTTTTTCTTTAAAGCTAACTTTGTGATTAGTTTACCAGCTAGTACATTTCCATGAGGCATTTTCTCACATTCTTAATTTTGGTTAACTCATTTCCTACCTCTTCCT